ATTCTAACTGTTTCATAGCAGTGCTTCAGGGATTGATGGCCTTCAGAACTTTGCTGAAGACATTATACACTCAATAAATATGAGCCATTTTACCATTATTATTAGCTGTCAAAAGCCACTCACTGGGGATAGTTGCCTAGAAGCTCAGGAGAGTGAAGCACAACTATAATTTTAGGAAGAAAAATAGCCAAAGACTTTTCTGAGGATGTACTGTCACAAGCCAGCCAAGCGGCAGAGGAGGCGAGACACCTGTGTCTGATCAGGGCTGTCGCCTGTTTGAGCCCCAAAAATCTCTGAACCTCAGATGTGCACACAAGGAGTGACCACTAGAAACCCAGCAGTGTCCTGCTCCTTATCCATCCAAGGGTCTCAGAGAGGGAAGCAGCCCCTCCCCAGGACAGTCAAAGAAGTCGCTGCCAAGAGAGATCCTCCTCTCTTTCCTTCAGCAGCTTTGATGGTGCTGCCAGGTCGCTGCCTCCCATCTGCAATCTGGAGTTTCATGTTTTAATAAAGTCTTGCCAAATAGCCATGAGTGTAGACTCCCAGGAAAACAAACACTAGGAGAAGTATTTTGTCAAGGCAGGAGTCCTGCAGTGTTTGGCTGCTCTTACAGATAAGATATCTGTTCACCTTTCATAAATGTCAGGCTTGAAATAAAAAAGACAGGATAATGAGGTCTTATTTCCACAGAAGCAAGCAGGCACCTACTAATTAACCGACAGACCACTAACAAACATACAGTTTAGACGCTTTTGCTGCAATTGTCAGACTGCAGATAGTTTGGGCTCCAGTGATCCAATTTTCTTACCCTCCTTTGTTATTTTAAAGGTATTTTAAATGGCCGTGATAAGAGAACCTCTGTTCGCTAGCTTAGCACACATCTGTATTATTTCCATTGTGTGCAATGGGTAATATACCCACTGAGTGGAACAGCGGTGGTCTGAGGAGGCCGCATTTTATGAAGAGGAGAGTCAGGAGCTGAACTTCAGCCACATCATCTTCCATGTGGATTGAAAGGCTGTCAGCCTCCCTAACTTATACCTAAATGTGACAATGCCGTGTCTCTTATAAGATGTTGTTTGGGATAAATGAGATCTAGCAGGTGGAGAGCACTACTTACAAAGAAGGAGCAAGCCAAGGAGGAGGAGAAAGGACTGTAAAAGGGCAGAGAAGCAGGACGAAGAAGAGATGGTGGAGGTGACACAGGAGATGAAAATAGATGAGGCTGGAGGCAGAGGAGAAGAAAATGATTAAGATTTTTGTATCACTGAGCATCTGTTAAGAGAGGTACAAATAATTGAGTTTCATGTCAAAATTCTAACTTCCAGTGCCCCAGAATGTGGCTGTACTTGGACAGAGGGCTTTGAAAGAAGGAGGGCCTGTGGCTAATCCCTTCTCCAGCTGGACTGGAGTCCTCGTGAGGAGCTTAGGACATAGTGCAAGTACAGAAAAGACCGTGTGAAGGGGCAGGCATTTCTGACCACTCCAGGGCAGTGGCCTTGGCACATAGGTGCTCCTGCATTGTGCTGAGCACATACTTCCGACCTCAGAACTTCGAGGAAGGAGTTTCTGTGTTTCACCCACTCACTCTATAGCTTCCCTAGTAAACTAATGTAGGCCAACTGGGGACTCAGAGTTGTCAAAGCATAACACGCACTTAGAGAAGGCAAGTAAACTGTACAATGGGGTTAGAGAATTGGGAGGAAGTCATAGGCTGATGCCTTTGCAGTCCTTTAGTAAAACCCTAGAGCCCAGATGTATGATGCTGTGTGTTTAGAGGATGGAGGAGAATCCCAGCGAGCTTACCAGGTGAAGACTTCCTGGCCCACAGAGGCCTTTGGTGCTTTGTTCTGAAGATGAATGAAATTCTGGATGAGAAATGGATTTCAGAGGTGGAAATCAAAGGGAGAGAAACAATTCAAAACCTTTTTGCATGCGGTATTTATATATTTTAAAAAACTATTCTACAAAAGAGGCTCAGTATCTTCAGAAACAATGATTCTTACCTTCTGTACCTCTGAAAAGTGTTTTACTCCTTTCTTAATTCTAATGACCCATGATAGATTGAAGGGTGCCTTCTGTAAAAGATATGTTTACATCCTAACTCTCAGAACCTGTGTGTGTTCGCTCATTTGGAATAAAATGGTCTTCACACCTGTGTTTAAGAACCTCCACAATAGATTATTCTGAGTACTCCAGGAAGGCCTTAGGTCCAGTGACAAGTGTCCTTATAAAAGGCACAGAGGAGAGATACACAAGACAAGGTCATGTGAAGATAAAGCAGTGACAAGAAAAAAGTTTAGACTTTTTTTGAGTGATGTAGCCACAAGCCAAGGGAAGCAGCCCCCAGAAGCTGAAAGAGAGATAGCAAGATTTTCTCCTTGAACCATTAGGGTAGCGCAGCCCATTGGTACACAGATTCTGCACTTCTGATCTCCCAAACATTGAGATCATATGGGGCAGTGTTTAAAATTTTCAAGTGCTCAAGAAGAGTCTTGATTCCTACATGACCAATGAGAAGAGTGAGGCCCTGATTTCCCATGAGTGAGTCTCTGATCACTTGGCCCCAGGAAGCTTCTCAGCAGATGGATGGGACCTAAACGCAGTCTGTGACATCAAGAGACATGTGGTAGAGGGGTGAGGAAGCTGGTGCGCTGTCCCTTAAACAGTGATGTGAGAAAATATATGAAGCTGTGGGGTTTAGCCAAGAGCTGATGGCTGAGAAGGCCTTAATAGACAGTAGCACTCTAGGAAGCCTCACCAGCACAAGCCTAGGTCAAAGAATATCTGAATTCACCATGACCCAGCAGATATCAGGAAGCATGGCCAAAACAGAGCCTAAGTTCCAGATTAAGAAATTTGTAATTGGCCTGTAGTAAAACTTCTTACTAAAACCCATCCTTTGGATTCATTGCTGTCAAGATTCATCCTTACTCTGTAGTCAAGTGCTGGCCTTGGTGAGTATCAACCCAAAGCCCGGGTGAGGACAGCGAAGTTGATCAGATTCACTGCACTAACAGCAAACACCACTGTGAAAGCACCTCAAAATACAAAGAGCATATGTAGGCCTTCAGACCCTGGACCGAGTGACTTCTAGGCGGGCCTAATAAGGTAGCAACATGGGTAGACTCAGGCAGACTTTATAGCAAGGCAGTTTGCAAGTAATGAATACAATAAGCTTGTCTGGATAATCAAATATGACCTAGTCTGGAGGTACTTAATCACATTTCTGAAGACCCTTTCATTCCAACTATGGTCACATATACAGCAAACTTTGATGAACAAACTGTGAGTGATGGAAAGTGCATGTGTTGGGGGTTCTCCCATGTATCAGTAGTTCCTGGAATCAGCAGCAAAGTTCTCTTTACTTGGTCCTGTGTTGTTTAATATAGGCAGAAGAAAGACTGGTGGCCTGAGTTCTCACATAAAATATTTCTTGGATATGATCTGCCATATTATAGACACTATTCCATGCCTTTCTGTGTGTGAGAGACAGACAGTGTGTGTATATCTACTTTCATAAAGTTTTAGTTCCAGTGAGAATATGAAGAGGACAATATAGACACAGTCATCCCATTGAATTCGTGATGGATTGGCTCCCTGGCTTTCCACAAACAACAACATCCGGGAATGTCTAAGGTCCCATACATAATGTGCTGTAGCTGCAGCAATTAACCACTGGGAGGAACGTATGCAATGTGTTAATTATTGAAATTGTCTTACCAATTTGGTTTGAAACTGTCTCATTGCTATTTGTTTCTCAATAAAATTATGGGAAAAAAATGTACTGTAGCATTTGCATAGAAACTACACACAGCTTTTTCTATATTTAGAACATGTCTAGGATATTTGTAACAGCTAACACAATATAAATGTAAGTAGTTGTTATATTGTCATGTTTAGGAAATAATGACAAGAAAATAGTTCATACATTTTCAGTACAGATGCTTTATTTTTAAGAAATATTTTTGGCCCATGATTGGTTGAATCATGCTGTTGAACCTGTGGATATGAAAGCTGGTTCTATTCTATAAGTACATACATACATACATATATGTGTGTGAACTTCAAACAGTGCAAAGTTTTAAGGAGAAAAATAAAACAAAAAAGAAAAATGGAGGTTGTAATGGGAAAGAAAGAAGGAAAACTATTAGTTATGGGACCATGTGAGAGTAAGGAATGCCTGATTAAGCAAAATTAAATAGACCTCATCACTCCAGCACATCTGAGAGTCCTGTGTTTGCCAGTGTGTGAAAAGAGGCCAAGGAGAGCATTGCCTGGACATCCTCGCCTGGGCAGCCCTCCTCTTACAGAAGACCTTCGTGCCCTGGGGAGGATATTAAAGGAAGACACCTGTCCACAGGAATGCCCATCGGCAGTGCAGGACAGCTGGCTGGAAGCAGGGAAGACAGTCATGGAGGTGCCCAGGAGATGGTGGGAGCTGTGGCGGTTCCTTTGCCACAGAGGGTGATCATAGGCAGAAATGTGACGACCTTGAGTTTCTCTCAGGCTGTTCTACCAGGACTGGGAGCCATCCTACACTGGGGGGTGGGGAGGCAGCTGTGGGGACACCCATGCAGCTTTCCTCTGTCCTTCCTGTTCCTGTCATAGAATGGAGCCCAACGTGCGTTGAGTGAAGCAAAGCCTGGAGCAGGAAGGCAGCTGGACACCAAGGGGCAATTTGTGGATCATGATGAGTTGACTCATTTTTAAATTTGTTTAGTTACTTAGTATTCTTTCTTTCTTTTTATTTTTTTTAGATAAGGTCTCACTATCTAGACCGGGCTGGCTTTGAACATGGAGTCCTCTCACCTCAGTCTCTCCAAGCCTGCCATTACAGTCAGGGCATAACCAGGGCCTTCTGCCTCCTCCACCCCTCTCTACTGACTTAGCCAGAAGTTTACTCTATTTTATTACTTTTTCTATGTTTGGAACCTGTGCCCATGCTCCCTGGAGAGGAGGAGACCAGCTCTGCTGAGCCGCTGCAGACCGCACACCCTTCGCCAATCCACAGAAGCCCACCAGCCCACTTGTTCACCTCAGACACTGCGCGCCTCACAGAGGAAGCCAGAAACCACGTATCTGCTCACCATGTGCTGCCTCCCTGGCTCACTGTGGATATAATGGGTTTACTCTGGCAACCTCGGCCTGGCAGCTTTGTGAAAGAACTCCCTTACTCCTGTAAGTGCTGCACCCGCTGGGGGCACAGGGCTCTGCAGAGGTGTCAGGCCCTGTGACGGCACTGTCAGGCTCTTCTCTCCAGCCTGGGGCTTGTGGCGAAGGCCACTTCCCTCTCTCCTTCCTGCTCCCTCTGAGCACCCTAGGCTGGCTGCAATCTGGCCTGAGGACAGCCCCAGGCCTTCCGAAGAGTCTAAATATCCCTGGAGTCTCATGAGGGAAGGGGACAGTTCAAGGGAACGTTTCTTTCCCTCTGACCTTGTGCAAACAAGAAGTGGGAAACCCTGTATTTCTGCTTCGCTGCCCCCATGTCCATGTAAATGAATGTGTGGGCAGTGCAGGGCACCACTGCGTGGATCACGCACATCTAGGCCTCCAGGCCTGTCAGGGCCCTGGGAGCCACCGTTTCCCTCACACCCTAGGTGCTTGCTCCCCTCAAAGCAGACAATTAAGCTGTTCCTCCTCAGACCTCTGGGATTCAGCTCTGGCCTCTGGGCAGCCAGTGTGGTGACTATCACTCCATTCTGACAGACCCCAAGCCACCCCCTCCATTCGCAGTCTGCCTCCTCCCACCATGCACTGCTCAACTCCTCAGGCTTCTGAATCACCCTCCTCAGAAACATTTCGTTCCAATAATTTTTTTAAGCTTGCCATAAAAACATGGAATTATTTTTTTTATTTGAAATTCATTTTCAGTCTTCTTTTATAGATGTGTCATTTATACAATGGCTGGAAAACTTTCTAAAATCAGATATAATTTATGAACCCCTTCTTTTCGGCATAATGTCACTTTGTACATTAAAATGATAATGACTAGCAAGATCAGATGTGTTTCTCCCTCAGGGAGTGGAGGGAGATGTTGGGGGGGGGCTGCTCTAGCTCTTCTAAAACAAGCCCCTGTGCTGTGCTCAGCCCCCACCAGGGGCTCTCAAGAAAAGGAGAAAGTAGAAAAAAAAAAGTACTTTTTCACATCTCTGATATGAGAATAATAGGGATAAGTCAGAGAATGCCCCTTGCAAGACAATGAGGGCTTGACAAACGGTGAGTGATGCCACTTGTACATCGTTTCCAAATTATACTTGATTTTCTAAGAAAGTATCCTTAGAGGTAGGTGAGAGCAGTAAGCGCAGCTCTCCTTCTTATCCCTAGCTGCTGTGAGAATTGCTGAAAGAAGCTTTGCAAAAATATGGAGACTGCTGTGAATATACCGTACTCTCTGAATGGAGCTGTGTCCCCAAGTTTTACCACCTAGTGACTCTTAACCTATGAGGTAGGTGCTATTGTCATCCTCAAAGTAAGAAAGCAAGGACCAGAGACCTTAAGTAACCTGCATAAGGCCACAATGCCAGTAAGTAGCTGAGCCAAGTATTGAACCAGACTATCTGGGACCTGTGATGTATGCCCTCTGTCTGTTGTCCTCCTGAAGGACTGCAATAGGGTTTCTAAGTAGACTAAATCTGAATTAGTCTGCCTGTGTGTAAACTGAGGCAATCCTTAATGTTCTGTGATTCAAGGGTCCTCATTTTTATTTTATTTTATTTTATTTTATTTTATTTTATTTTATTTTTGGCAGAACCGGGGATTGAACTCAGGCCCTTGTGTTTGCCAGGCAAGCACTTATTCTACTGAGCTATCTCCCTGGCTCCCCTCATTTTTAAAACAATGAAAATGAGACACTGAGAAATAGAGTGTGCTGCTGCCATCGCTAAGCTAGTGAGACCGACATGGTCCCCAGCTGAGTGAGTCCTTATGCAAAATTCCTGCCTTAGTTCAGAGGAAAGCCAGTTGGGGTGTGGCTTTCCCTCTGAAACATCTCAAGGGAAGCGAAAACACAGCAAGGAGAGAACTCAAGTCCCAAGAGTCAAATAATGGTACAAGTCTTTAGCCCATATACTGCACTAGGTCTTCCAGGAGACAGATTACAATGACATTCAACATTAGCAAATTTCCACGGCACACATCTGTTATTTATTGAACGCTGATCTGTAACTTCAAGGGATAAAACAAAAAAGTATTATCCTTGCTGGAATGCACACCCCACATGAGGAACGCTGACCAGAGGGGACAGTGGGCTCTACACACACCTCCGTGTCAGGAATGATCGCAGACGAGTACATGGCCTCTCTCTTCTTCTCTTGTCCCGTGGAGAATCTCTTGCCTCAGCTTCCCAGAGTGCTGGGGGATTACAACTGAGCACCACCACAGCCAGCCTGAAGAAGTTGTTTAAGGAAAGCGCAGACTAACATCCATCACTGGATATGGTCGCGTGTCGCAAAGGCCTTTCTTCCCCTCACACCCTGTGCGCAGATGGGGAGCTGTCTGGCCCTCTGCCTCCCCACGTGCATTCTCCAGTGCTTTGATCATTTTGCACGAACACCAATCACCGTTCCAGAGCCTGTCAGGAGCACTGCTTTGGATTCTCAGTCCAGTGCCATAAGTATCTTCCAGAGGCTGAAATAATATATTTTAACCTGAGCTTTCCAGAAACATCATACAAAAGCATCCTGCCAGCCAGCAGCTGCACTTCACCCTCATATGAGTCATCAGAATGACTAACATTGTACTGTGGTAAGTAGCTATATCCTAACATACCTCCTGATGGCATCCTCCAAGCACACACTGAACTAGGAATAACTCGGCAGGCTTTGCTCTGGAAGTCGGAGTGCAGCCCTTACTCAGATCCATGGATACTAACTACCAAGCAAGCATAGACACTTGTGCTTTGATACTTTACAAATAAAAAAGAGGAAAGTAGTTTCTTTTTCTAAAGAAGAAGAAAGAAAATTAAAAAGAGAACAAGGAAGACTTGGTGGAAAATGGGTATAAACATGAAAATAAAAGAAAAGAAGAATAAGGGAAGGAATGGTTCTTGGCCATCAACCATCTCTTTAAAAACAATGCTTTCATGAGTAAATGCAAATGAAATGAGGAAAAAAAATACATGTGGGTTAAATTCCCACTGAAAACACTCATGGGCTTAACATTTTAAAGGGAAAATAGGCCCCAGGCCAAGCTCATTGTGGATTGAGCCAAGCCCAGGGGAGGTGCTCTGGCACTAGGGGACACCAGGTGTGGAACCCTAAGGTGGTCCAGGCATCTCCCTGTCAGAGCCAGAATTTATGGGTTCTTCTAAGCTGGCCAAGGGCAGGAAGGTGCACACTTGGCTACAATAGACTCTTGGCTCTCCACTGTAGCTAAAAATCTGAAACCAATTTCTTGGTTTCTTCCTTGAGCTTGCAAAAGACACATTCTGAGCAAAGCTGGCAACAAACCTGAGCTCAGCAGTAGATCTCCTTCCTGGAAGTGCAATGATGCTGTTTCTGGTCCTCCAGTGTCCATATCTTAGAGATGTTTAGGACCCTTCTTTCATTTATATGGGTACAGGGATGACTTTTGATATTTAACAATTATCCTTCATTGAGACCTACTGTGTTCTAAACTGGATTAGAAAGTTGAATCTTGTCAGCTGCCGTATCAGAATGGTTATCTAAAGAGAACCTTTAGTCTAAAGGGCTTGGGGGACCTGTCCAAGGTCCCACATCTCATTTCCAGTGTGAGAGAGGAACAGAAAGGGGAGGAGTCAGTCTGTCCTAATATAAAGCCATCTTCTTAGTTGCCTTAACTACTTTGGTAGAGTGTGCTTCCAAATGTAACTTTCAAATATATGCAGCAGCCATTGGTAATGTCCAAGGGATTCATTTCCAGAAAACAATCACAGGATGATGGCACCTGTCATCTCTCAGAGAGCATTTCTGGATGTACTTCTGTCTGTTTGGTCTATGCAGGCAATCAAATATCATTTCAATACTAATCTGAGAAAATCATAGACACGCAAATGCATTGGAAAAAATAGAATAATGCATTTTAAATGTGTAATTTAAGTGTAACATAAACATAATTATCTCTCTGGCTCTCTTCCCCAAAGCAGTCATCTAAAGATAATCCAAATGTAGCCACGCCACAAGAAAAATTGCTCTTTCCTTGCCTGTATGTTACTTTGTTCCTTTCAACAGCATTGTCTCCTATTATTTTCTTACAACTTAACTATCTTAACTATAAATTAAACGTCCCTTTCACTTGACTCTGAAGGTGCAGGCCACATCTGATGCACCCAGGACACCTACTTGGTTTTGTTGCATAAGCCAAGTGAAACAGATTTGAGCCCTAACTAATTCATAGTACACTTTAAAGTCATAGAAAGCTGAGAACATAATTTCATTTGATTATTTGGCAATCAAATCACTTCACACTTTACTTGCAGGGTTGATAAGATACGTTGCCTGGAAAGCTCTCAGCTATCTTAACATTACCATATCTGATTGGAGGTGATAGCCAACATGATTTGGTGGCTTTAGAGCTTCACTTGTCCTTAGCACCACTTTCTTGTAATTGCAATAATAATTGAGCCATGAGGGTTGGTTTTGTCTCTAGGTTCTTAAATCAGAAATTTGTCCTTCTTGGATCTGAAACAAAGACTCATTTTTTTGTAGGAAGCAAATGAGTTTGTAAGGTTCTGGCTCTGCCTCCACCACGGGTGTGTGTTTGGCTTTGGAAATGTTCCTTTCTACTTCTGTGTTTCTGTCAAATAAGACAGTGAACCCTACAGCCGTGAAGTTCTTTGAATATGCTCAGAGCTGAACGAGTCTGAGGTCTCAAGCTGACCTCTTCCCTCTGGCTTGGCATTTTTCCAGGCTGAGGGAGCTGGCCTCTCTCTGATGGCAGGAGGCATTAGAAAACCACAGAATCCTTTCCACTAAGCCTCCCCACATAGGCCTGTTGCTGTTTTGTCTTTTAAAGATGAAACACATTCCTCTACTCTGAGTTCTGTGGTCCCCCACTCTTTCTTCCTTACTCCTATTATTAAACCTAAACTCCCTTGAGAGGAATCAGCTCATAGCAACAAACCCTATTTCTGGGGTGCTAGAGGAACTTTTGCTTTTAGTCATCCTCAAGTCACAAGGTGAAGGAAGCCAAAGCCCATGCTGTGACTTAGTTAGAAAAGCCATCCTAGGGACAGAATGGAAGAAGCCAGGTTCCCATCAAACTCCAGGGACAGGGAGATTAGAGACTATTTCTAGACTTCTTATCTCTTGGTTGAGACTCTTACACTAGTGAAAAAGGAAAGACCAAAGCTCAGGCCAATGAAATACCTATAACCTGAGGGGTGTGTGTGTGTGTGTGTGTGTGTGTGTGTGTGTGTGTGTGTTTCTTTTGTGTGAAATCTTCCCTAAGAAAAAGCTTTGCCTGTGTAGGTGGACATTCTTTTAAGAGGCACAAATCAGCTTCTGTTTGCTCTGATGGGTGTATAGCCTAAGACTTCTCAAGTGATTGGCGTTTGGTACCCAATGGGTAATCAGGTGGAAAATCTTTTTAATTTGGCAGAGTTAGGGATGTCAGAGCTGCTCTCGAAATGTGATGGGCCAAAACATTTGTCATTGCAGAATTGAATTGAGAAAAAGGAAGATGAAAGAGAAAGTAAGGTGATTTCCTTTCTTGCCACACAATTCTGTCAGAAGACCCAGGGATATGTTCATGACTTATAATGCCTAGAGTGGATGATTTTGCAGTTCAGGCCTCTTGATGCTGGCCAGCAATTTGTGCTCATGGGCACCTTACTTCTTTTATTAAAGACTGTCTTTTCCACATCTCAGCTATCCAGGTATTTAGGCACCTTTGTTGGCATTTTCTGGGCCTTTCCAATTTCTCTTTAGAGTATACAGATGTCCCACTGGGAGTCAAGTTATTAATTCCACAAACAGATTAATGATTGGTGTCCAAGAGTCTTTACATCACTGGGGACCCCATTGGCAAATACGTTCTTCTGTGTTTAAATAGAACTGTATTTTCAGAAGTTGGGATTAAGGATCAAAATGCTATAAGCTGAGATTGCCTTAAAGAACGATATGGAAGCCATGGGCACAAGGAAGTGGAGACCATGAGCCATAGAAAGAAAGTATATGCCAAAGTGAAGACACTCATATAGGTAGAAAGAAAAGAAGCTGAGGATAATTGGAGAGAGGCCAGGCAAATTTTGAACCCAGGAGACAGCATAGCTCAGGGTCTGAGAATGATCTCCAAATTCTCCTGTTGAAACCTGGACAGCAACCTTGAACCCAGGGTCTGCTCACTGAGGGCTGACTTGATCACCATGTGCCTAGCCACAATCCCCACCGCCCTTTACTAAGTCTGCCAAAGAGGCCATTCCTTCATCTTCAAGTTCCTACTTCAATTGTTTGTCTCAGGAATGAAGCCATTGTATGTCTGAACTTCTAAGAACTTGACAAGGGAGAGGTCCCCTGGTTTGGCTAATGATCAGAGAAAGCCACGGTGAGTCAGCAGGGACACTCTTAAGGGCTGACCCAATGCGACTTTTCCCTGCAGGGTAAAGAATGAGCGGAATGGATAGAGGCACATCTTACTGGCCATCACAGATGCTAACAAAGTGACAAGGGATGGGGCAGAAGGCCCTGAGGCCAGCTGCTGTAATGTACAGGTAAGGTCTTTATTGTTGTGTGACATGGGTGGGTTTTGCCACGTCCCATCCTCTTTTGCTGATCTTCCTACAAATCTATGGGCTCAGTTTCTGCTTAACATTCTGTTGCACCAGAAAAAAACAAACAAAACCACAGAAGATGTACACAGGCACTTTGAGAATTGTGCAAGACTTTTGTAAACAGATCAGAGACAATTTTCCATTCCTGAAAAATTGAGTCTCCAGGAGGACTAAGCATGTGACCTTGTTTAAAAAAAAACAGCAATAACAAATATTTTTTTCTCTTCCACTTAAACAGAACCTTGGGAGTCTGTGAGATAAGAGAATAATTCAGCTCCTGTTATGAGTTAGTGGAAGCAGCTCTGATCATGAAATATGGAAAACACTGACTTAGGTGCCGGCCAATTCTGGTTCAGTGGTCTTGGGTAACTTTCTGAACCTCCTACGCCTGTGGTTTCTCTACCTGTAAATTGAAATTTTGCCTCTTGCTTCCCTTCTATGATTCATAAAGATGGACAGTATGAAGGGATTGGAGCAGGTGAGGCCCTGGTCTCTCTACTTGTGTCAGCTAGAAGAGTTAGGGTGTGTCTGTGCTGCAGACAGGACTTCTGCCTAAGCTTTCCATTAAGTTTATTGATTGAAGTATTTTACACTGACCTTCTCAAACCAAAAAGCTACAACTCTTGTTGCATAGGTTCTGCTTTACCTTGGTCTTAACCATCCAGTAGAAAAGTATGAAGATGAAATATAGGAAGTAAATCCATGTTGTTATGTTGAGCTGTGGGGGACTCACGTCAATAATTTCTGACATTGCCAATTAAACAGAAGACCCAATGCTATTATGGGCTTCTGTACTCTTTTAGAATATTTTGCTGAGTTTACACACCTATAATATTCAACAACGGAACTTAAAAAAAAATTGGGGTATAACCAAGAATGTCCATTTTGTATCTGTGTATTCAAAGTGGTTGGGATAGATATGTAGTTGCATTCTCTTAATGAATAGAATGATTTTTTCTAATGGTGTTTGTAAGTAGGATCACAAGTCTGCATCTTGTACAGCAATTGACCACTAAGAAGAATATATGCAGTGTGTTATTTGTTGAAACTGTACTTTCGATTTGATTTGAAACTGTCTCATTGCTATATGTTTATCAATAAAACTTTGAAAAGAAAAAAAAAGAATATAAAAAAAAGAAATATTTTAGAGTGGAAAATCATTGAAATTGAATTCCAGAGTGAATTTTATATGTTAAAAAAATCACTGTTGGTGAAGAGGAAAAGTGTTGTTACAATTTGTGCAGAGACATGAATTACACATTCAAAAAATGCCATTCCCACAGAGTATCATTGTCAATCTGTCACTGGGTCACTCAGTTCTTTAAAAGACTCTGAAGTGAGGTTTATGTAGGTATTGTTTATATCCCACCATATTAACTTTCACTCCCAAAGACTTGATTATATAGTTGCTTGCAGTATCAACCCTATAATACATAAAAGTGCAATATTCATTAATCAATATTTGATATTTAAGAAAGAAAATTAAACTCACTTGAGACACTTGTTATAAAAGCAGATTCTCTGGCCTCGAGCCCAAGATTCTGTTTAGAACGGCTGGAGCAGAGACTTAGAACTTGTCATTTGAAGGATGTTCCCGGCATATAGACCACACTTGATAACCTTCGTGTTAGCCTGGGGCCCCCAGAGATCATCCAGGGGACACTCTGGTAAGAAGAGTGTATACAAGTGATTGACTAGGAACTACTCCTTGTACACACTATCACAAAAGTATGTGAAGACAATGCAATCCAGGGTCCCAATTGGATGAAGTCTCAGCTCAGTTTGCCCCTGTAGGGAACCACTCGGATTGTCTTTCTACTTGGACTTGAGAAGTCAGTGCTTTCACATGTTGCCCACCCTGTCATCCTCCAAGGGCTGACTCACAGGGGATAGGAACACCTGCTGACCAGTAACTCATTGCATTTGGGAGTAGCAGAACTCCATAGCCTGAGGTGGTCCTTATGAAAATTGAAGGAGTAAAGCATTTATTCAGAGGGGATGTGGTAGATCATGCAGGTGTGAAGAAGGGATCTGAGAGGATCTGGCAGATGGAAGGAGCGTTCAGCTGTGAAGTGTTCAGCGGTTAATTGTGTGGATTTCACCAATTTCAATCTTTGTATTTCCACATTTCTGATGATTACATATATCCATTGTATCCTTGATACTAAGCTATAATCTCATTGATGGTAAAAGTCATGTCTAGTTACCAATAGATTCCATGGTTCCGTTAATGGCCTTCTGTGAGCAGGTAACAAAGGTTTGCAGACCATCCATAGTTCAAGGTTCTGCTTTGATCATTCCATGTAAGCAAAAAATTTTCTTAGATTTCCACTTTATTGGATTCCTTGGGTCAATCAACCAAGGAATCCCTTAGGTGATTAATCCTAATTCCTTAGGTAATTAATTTATTGAGCACCTTGTCTATACCTATCTCAACATTGGGAAGGTTATGAAGTGGCATGAATACAATCAAACAACCTGAGTATTTAAACGATATTTAATACCAGTAAATCAAGAAAGAAGATACCATCATCAGTGCAATGAAGTGCTATATTATCAAATGTTACTAAAGCTCAAAAGGTAGAAAATATATCGCAATTTTTATTGTGAGGTATACACATATACACACACAGACTTAAGCAAAGGATTCATATAGTCTTGATAATCCTGATCAGTTGAAAACAGTTACCTAAAGAAACATCTCAAGGTCTTAGTTTTAACCAAGTCAAGGCCCAGAATAATCAAGAGTGTCTGCCAGGGCATGAAATGACGACTGTTCCTGAGTATAGCGCAATTCACCTTTTTATAGGTAACAGAGACACCCTGATCAAGAAAGACTTCATAGCAAAGAACTTTCTTTCTTTCTTTCTTTCTTTATTTATTTATTTATTTATTTATTTATTATTTTTTGGTGAATTGTCACAAATAAACCCACCCCATGCAACCAGCACTCAGATTAAAAAAGCAGATCTTTGGTTTTGTTTATTTATTTTTGGTGGAACTTAGGATTGAACTCAGGCCCGTGCATTTACCAAGAAAGCACTTATTCTACTGAGCTATCCCCCTGGTGCCCATAAAGAACTTTTAGAATCAAACTCCCCAAAGTAAATCCAACGCTATTTTAAAAAGTAAAAAGAAAGGTCAAGCGTGGTGGTGTACACCTATAATTCCAACACTTGGGAGGCTGAAGCAGGAGGATTGCTATGAGTTCAGGGCCAGCCTGAGCTACAAAGTGAATTCAAGACCAACCTGAACAGCACAACAAACTACTGCCTCTCAAAGATAAATGAATAAATAAACTTTTCTAAAACTTTCTCTCTTTTGCTCCCATAAGTTCCTGCATGTTGTACAGACATTGTCATTCAATTATAGTGATTGTATAATTTCTTCTTCATTTTCATGTGTGATTTATTGATTGCTCAAAAGAGTGTTATTTGGTTTCATGTGTTTATGAAGTTCTTGTGGTTTTTCTGCCATTGATTTCCAATTCTATTGCACTATGACCTGATATTATGCATATAGTTTGATAATACGAATGGGATAACTTTAGTTGCTTTGTATTCACTTGAGCACGTTGTATGAGCTGCATGTGGTGTACTTTGGGGAATGTCCTACATGCAGCTGAGAAAATGATGTGGGGTGAAACACTCTGTAGACATCTGCTAAGTCCATTTCTTCAAAAGTTTGGTGTAGTTCTAATATTTCATTCTTGATTTTGTTGCCTGTAAATCTATTTGTAATAATGAGGTGTTGAAGCTCCCCACTGCAATTATATTAGTATTTATGTGATTTTTCATATCTGTAGTTATTTGTTTTATATAGCTTTATGCACTGATATTTGTTGCAAATATATTTATGATTATTATCTCTTCCTTTCGGATCGTTTGCTTTAAAGATTTGCAGTGAGTGACCTTTCTTGTCTCATAATCAGTCTTGGCTTGAAATCCACTTTTATCTGCAAATAGAATAGCTACCCATGCTTTTTTCTATACTGTCTCATGGAGTATTGTTTTCCATTCTTGATTTCCAGTGTATGAATTTCTTTTTGAATTAAATATGTTTCTTTTATGCAGAATGTTGGCAGATATTGATTTTTTTTATCCATTCCATCAGTCTGTTGGCAGATATTGTTTTTTTAAAAATCCATTCCATCAGTCTGTTTTTGTTGTTGTTGTTGTTGTTGTTGTTGTTTTGGGTTTTTTTGGATTGGTAAATTGATACCATTAACATGTATTGACTTAACCTTATCATGTTATTTCCTATTGTCAGTTTCTTTTTTACTCTCTGCTTAATTGCTTGCATTGCCTGGTAGATTCATTCTGTTAGGAATCATGAAGTTGTAGTCCTTGTTATCTCTTTCTAGAATGTCCTTTAGAACATTTTGGAGTGCTAGTTTGCTTGGCATGAATTTCCTCATATATTCTCTGTCATAGAAGTACCTGCTTTCTCCATCAATTTTGAAAGATAGTTTTGTGGGATGCATCAATCTGGATTGGAGGTTGTTTTCTTTTAGAGCTTGAAATAATGTACTCCAAACTCCTTGACTTCAAGGTTGTGTTGAGAAGTTTGCTGTGATACTGTGGGTTTTCCTTTATAGATGATTTGTGTTTTTGTGCTGAATTTCTAGAATCTTGATTATTATATATTTTGGTATAGATTTATTTTTTTTAGAAAATCAGGCTAATTGGAGTTCTATATGTTTTGCTTATTGTATGTGAAATTCTTTTACTCTGCTTGAGAAGTTTTCTGCTATGACTTCTGTGAACAGGATTTTGTCATTTGTGCTATCCCCTGCTTTTTCATTCCTCTGATCAATCTTATGTTATTATTCTTTGTATCATCTAGCAGCTGCTGGATTGGCTTCTCATGGACCTTTTCTATTTTAAAGAAATCTTTCTTTTCATGGTCACTAACTGCAATCCTGTCTTCCATAT